GTACACGAAGGGCGATCTGAATTGGCAACCTTCCACTGCCCATTGGCTCGAACGAAGCATGTTGAAGTTAACTATCATTTTATTCGTGAGAAAGTGCTTAATGGAGACATTGTTATTAAGTATATTAACACAGCAGATCAAATTGCCGATGTCTTTACTAAAGGTCTCACTACAGTTCGCTTTGCTCAGCTCCGTGCCAAACTGATGGTCCTGCTGCCTCCCATCAGCTTGCGGGGGAGTGATAAGCTTCCTCCTACAAATTCTCCTACAACTTCGACTTCTCAAGATAATCCACATCCATCTGCTGCTCTATCTTCTATTGAGCTACTTGATCATCCACCTGATTTACCTCCACATGATAAACATCATTAGTTTAGATTTTGTATTATATATCTTAATATTTTCTGTTTAGATTTTGTATAATCTTTATGTACTTTGTATCATTATATAACTGTGTATAACAATACGGTTTGGTTATTGAATACCAAAATCCATTTTGATATTTCTCCAAACATTTTCAATTAGGTCAAGATAGTAATTAGAGTATGCTGAGCCCAGATTTATACTAGGTCTAGGTCCAGTTTATGGGTTAAGCTCAAACTATTAAAAGGCAAATCAGGCTTACCTGTTCAATTCAAAACTCAAGAGTTCAGGAAGAGTCAACGTACGTAGAAGAGTAATAATTGAAATAGTCATGACTCTAAAATAGTATTTATCCCCAATTGCAGTTATCCTCTCGCCTCAGCTACGACTCTATGCCTATAAATTATAAATCCCTCTACATATGGGGGCAGATCTAACACGCAACACCTTGAGCGTACTCTTGCTCTCTCTCTCTCTCTCTCTTTTACTATCTTGTACTCTCTCATTAAAAGTAATGCTACATAGACTTAAAAAATAGACTTGATAATTACAGCTATTAATTTTACTGTGGTCTCAGCATTTATTGGTACCCACTATCTATTCAATGGTTGAGATTATCAAGNTAGACTTGATAATTACAGCTATTAATTTTACTGTGGTCTCAGCATTTATTGGTACCCACTATCTATTCAATGGTTGAGATTATCAAGTGTAGTTTTTAAGTTCATCCCTCTCATTAATAGAGTTATTCGGCTACCGTTTACCCTTCAGTGGTTAGGTCACCCAGATGCAACCACCCAATCTTTATATATTATTATTAATTACTTCATTAATTCTTTTATACCACGCACTCAATTTAATTGTACATAGTCAACTTTGTCTATCATCAAAGTATATTATCATCATTAATTTGTGGCTAAATAAGGAGAAATCTAGGAATTGAGTCCAAGCAATAAACTTCAATATTTTGGAAAAATTTTGGGGGTGTGAGGTCATATTATTTAAAGTAGGGTATTTTCGTACTTTATACTTTGAAAGATTTCAAGTTTCTTATTTTATATTTTTAAAGACTAAATTTTTTATATTACACCTTTAATGTATAAAAAATGTTATAATGTGCCCCTTCTTTTATCTTTCGCTATTTTTTTTGGCCAAAAAATTAGGACCTCCCATTTGTGTTGACCAAGGAGTCTTCAAATCAATCTAACATTCTTTTTTATTTGTTGATAAGTGGTTACACTCGTTTTGGGTCACATAAAAAATAGAGAAAGAATCTAGTATGATTTCCGGCCAATCTCAATCAGTATTGAACATGTTTAAAATGCTATTTGCTTTTTTTTCATTTGTCAGGTTATGCAATTATAATTTCTCCACCAGTATCAAGACATTGTGCTAGGTTTGCATGTCATTTTCCCTGTCCTTGTTATTTTATTTTGGGCACTCTTACTCATGCCAGGAAACCCATGTGTCCTGCTTTTTTGCCCTTTGTTATCCTTTCACCATTTGGAAATTGCTGAACAAGATGCCCCTCTTGTCCTCCAAACACCTTTGCAACCTAAAATAAAAATTAAAATGATTAAAAAAAAATCAAACCTCATGTATAAAGGTCCAACTTTTAAGGAGCTCTAAAAGAGATAAGTGATAAATAACTTTATCGATATAATGAAGGGATTAATTCTCCTGTGTATACCTACGACGTATTACTTTGACAAATAAAGAATATCACCATCTTGAGTTCTATAATTTCTTTCTAGAAAAATCTTGTTTGGAAAATAATAATGTTNATATCACCATCTTGAGTTCTATAATTTCTTTCTAGAAAAATCTTGTTTGGAAAATAATAATGTTACATTGTACCTATTTTTGTGATCTAATGAATTGGGATTATTGAATTGACAGTGGACTGCATTTAATGTTCGAATTTATTGTCAATCCAATTGCCGAAATGAATTAGGTTATTACATTAGATCTCCAATTTAAGTCTCAATGGTATTGTTCCCGAAAAATCTTATATTGGTTTCAATAAGAGTACTATTATTTGAATCTAAATATCTGAACTAATTTATTGACCTAATGATGTGGTTTCAGTGAAATCATTGGATGAACGTCAACTTTCAATATTTAATGAGACTCATAGTCAATTTAAAAGTCATAGTAAATTAGGTCAACGAATTAAATCTCAATAACATTGCTCTTTCTATAAGATTAATACAATTTGGACAAAAAAAATAAAAATTTGACCTAATTTACTGGTCTAATAATGTGGTTTCAATAAAATCAACATCAAATTTTAATGTTTAATGAGACTCTACAGTCAATCCAAATGTCATAATAAATTAAATCAATAAATTAGGTCACAATAACATTGTTCTTTCTATAAGAGTAATATTATTTGGACCTAATTTACTGATCTAATGATGTGATTTCAATAAAACTATTGAATCAACACCGACTTTCAATGTTTATACTTAGACTGTCTGTAATTTTTATTAGAATGAAACAAAATTATCATCATTTTTAAGTCAGCACCATAAATGGATAATTACTTTAAAAAATCCACCATGATTTTTTTATCATACTTATCAGAAAAGCATTGTCACTTGAAGTTGGCTGTTCCTTTTGACCCACTCATGCACTTAATTTTCCTCTACCTAACACTCTTCATATTCGAACTTTTTCCATTATTAGCTCAAACAACATTGGTGAAATTTACCTGGGATAGAGCTCGGATGACNAGTCATGCACTTAATTTTCCTCTACCCAACACTCTTCATATTCGAACTTTTTCCATTATTAGCTCAAACAACATTGGTGAAATTTACCTGGGATAGAGCTCGGATGAAAAGACATGAAAGGTTACTATCGTGAGGTCTCTCGAGTATGATTTTTTGAAAGACAACACTGATTTACGGCACACGTGTGGTTTGCTAGTTAATTCGTACGTCCGAGGTTTGTATTATTAATTGATAATCACGAGTCCAAGTGGTGGATGTAAAGTTATGGGGGAGTGTGATTGAATTTTGTTTGTAGGTTATTGTTATTAACTGTGCGTGCAAGATCCTGCACAATATAAAAAACGAGAACAGATATCTCCTTTGGTGGACTCGAGCGAGCCGGTTGAGTGACCAAACACGCTGCTTGGAACAGCNCAATAGCTTGCTTGCAGCCTCCACACTACATGTTTCCCATCAATGACCAGCATTGGATTACACATTGTGAAGTAGCCCAAAACTTGTTGGGTCATTAGGGTGGCCAGTACAATCTTCCAACTGAAGTCAGCCTAAAGTAAGCCTTGTAATAGAACCCGTGTTCCACCGGACCATGGGCTGTTCCACACCATCAATTGTGGTCCACTTGCCCAACTCTAGGGCAATGAGCAGTTATTTTGCACCTATTGGCCCCAATGGGTTGTTCATTCCAGCCCACGAAGGCAGCAAGGGCAAGTGACCAACCAAAATTCAAAAACATGTTTTTAATTGTTTTTTGTTTAACAAAAAAAAAAAAACTGTTTTAGAGATACAATTCAAATAGGCCCAAAAAAATATTTAAAAAATAAAATTTGGTTTAACAGATAAGTTGGTCCATGGACAAAGCCTGAGCCCTACAATTTTTAGCGGGCTGGCCTGCTTCAGGGCCCACCATTATTTTGATTGATGGCTCAAGTGAGCACGGTTCGTTGCTAAGACTTAGGTGGAAGTATCACGGATCCTCCCGTCCCATTTCTGGGTCAGGTAGGCCTGGTCCATTGCTGAAGTACCATGCATCATCGGGTCCCACTTCCGGGTAGGCTTAGACTGAATCATTATGGTTCTTGAAGAAGAAGCTGGACCAAACATTGTATTCTATCATGGAAAATGCTGTTGGGACTTACTTAGACTATTTGAGTATCTAATTGGGGTATTTAAACCAACGTAGTTATTGGATTAGAAGTGACAATGTATTAAATGTGAACTTCATCTAGAATTGAAAATTACAACCCGATTCAACGGCTGTACTAAATTAGGTCTCTTTGGCAAGAATTTTTCAATCAAATACAAAATGATTATTTTCCAGCTAGTAACGATTTTCTGTTAAAGGAGACTTGAATGCTACAGAAAGCAAGAGAATATTTTTTTCAAAAGAAGCATTGAATTCTATCTATCCACCTTGCACATGTAATGTACGTACCAACAAGAACCCGCATTCTTCTCTCTTCATGGTGTCATTGAAAATGTAGGGTTTTTCTAGCTGCCTCTTTAATTACTTGGTTTGGAGCCATGTGCAGCCCCATATCTGTTTATGAATCATCTAAAGATGAATTTGGTCGGCTCACTCATACAATAGAGACGAGACGTAAATTCATATGTCCAAAATTTAAGTTTTTTATGGCTGTTTGAAACTTGAATTCAATTGGTTTGTGTGGTAATATCAGTACATGCATGCATGTTAGGTTTATATTTCAAACAATCAATTTAAAGAACCGTGGTTAGAACGATTTCTCACTACACAAGAAAAACAAAATCAGTTAAAGAAGACAACTAATGCATGTAACTCCTGTCTTCTAACTGAGAAGATATGCAGATGTCAAAAAAATAAATATGAAAAATGAGACAAAGATCGTGGTCCACCACAACCATTGCTATTCAACAAGCAAGAGCATGCATGATGCACCACCACCACTCTCAATGCCGGCATATTTGTTAAGCATAGGGTAAATTACATTTACACCTCTTAAACTATCATTCTTTTTGTACTTTGTCCCCTCAACAGCCAGATTTTTCACAGTGCACCCTAAATTAATACTTTTATTTCACATTGCACCAATTATTAACATTCATTACATATTTAACAAAAAATTATTTCGATTTGTCCCCTAAACTATATAATTTTTTTTTCACTTTACCTTAATACGTTAATGATTTTCGTCTAAAAAAATAACAGAGGTTTACAATTGGGAAAATGTGAAATAAAGTGTTAGTTTAAGGTACAATGTGAGAAATAGGATAGTTGAGGGAGTAAAGTAAAAAATGTGATAGCTCAAAAGATGTAAATGTAATTTACCCTGAAGCGTTCCTTGATTAGGAGTAGGACACTTGGGACCATTGCTACTGTGGGGACTATCTTAAAACAGCCGGGTCCACGACACCCTCGGTACATTGGGTCCAGAGGTATATCAATTACAGGTTGGGCTAATGCAAGAGTTCAATGCTCTGCTTTATCCAATCAAAATGAAGGCATTTGATGGGGCATCCTTTCATTCATTCCTCTAAGATCACCTCTATTTTAGACGTAATTTATTAATGTTGATACCGAAAAATATACAAAAAGTAATGAGATTTTAGAAGATAATAAGCAATACAAAAGCTAAAAGATGGGGCAGAAAAAAAAATTTCCCCTCCAACCATACATCGGGCAACAAGTCACCCCACATAGTTATCGAATATTCTCTAAATATTCTTTTAATATTCTGTTATAAAAGTTGATGATTATTGTGTAAAAAAAAGACCTCAAGCAAGAAAAAAAAAACCCTTATCGTACCATTCTTCTTCAAAAAATAATATACGATCAAAGAGTAAGAACATCTATTAGAATGAATTAGTCAAGCTTTTCAATTGATGAACCACTTATTTTCTTATTTTCTTATGTATTCTCATTCATTTTCACACACACACGACACACCCAACAAAAACTCTTTCACTTCTCAACCTCATGCCTCTTGATTTTTGATCCCATCAGTTGAAATAATTTATTAATATAATGAATTGTTGTTATTGGAAGTTGGGACTCACTTCCGATCAAAGGGTTGTGATGAATTATTACATCATTACACCATTATTACATCATTAAATTTGGTTCAAATAGTATACATAGTAAATATTTTTACAAGAACAACAAACTTTCGGGATGGTTGTGTTCTAAAGCTGGTCATTAGTTATGCAGTCTGTTTTATAACTTATAATATAGATAAAATGATTAATAGTATTTTTAGTCTTTAAATTTGTTAATTTAGTCTTTATTGTATTAATTTTGTCAATTTAATCCCAAAAATATTTAATTTGTGTCATTTTAATCTTTAATCAGACAATCCGTCAAATTTTTTTATAGAAGTACCTAAATATCATTTTTTTTAGACAGTATTACGTGTCATTCCGTCTAAAACACAGACCGTCTACAAAAAAATTTACTCGCTATTTACAAATACCAGTTAAACTTAGGAGCTATCAACGAGCTTGAATAATTTTGAACGTTACTAATGAGTTTTTGGTTTAATAGTACTCTTTATCTTGTGAAAATTTTGTCTTCTTGAAATCAAAGGTTCAAGTCTTCTTTCCCTTTCCTCCTTTTAAAAATAAAAAAATAATAATAATTTCGAATGTTTGAATTTAGTATCTAACCCAAACACTAAACTAGCCGTGAGGATTGAATAAGCAAGTAATTAATGAGAAATAAATAAAGCATAAAGTTCACAGAGGCAATCAGGAAGCATGGACGAGGTCGGCTGGTAGGTGCATGCATGGAAGCTTTCACGTGATTTTACACACTCAACTTGTGATTGTTTGCTCAGAATGCTCACTCACCGTCACTACTTCCGAGTCGGTGGCATTGAAAGTTATTTTTTAATATTATATCAAAATTTTCTACAAAATAAACTTGTACGTGTGTGGTGTGACTCAATAGTGCCCGATATTTTCGGTAGAGAGCTACCAATGCAAAGTGTCATGTTGTGCTTTTTAAGTTGTACAACCACCGCCTTGTCAATATTTGTTTAATTTATATTCGATTTTTTCGTAAGGGATAGTTGGCTACGGTACAATTAAAGACCTTTTTTNGGAGGAGTAGGTGGTGGAGCTGGGGGAGGATTTGGAAAAGGTGGTGGAGTAGGTGGTGGGCATGGAAAAGGTGGTGGAGTTGGTGGGGGCGCCGGTGGAGGATTTGGAAAAGGTGGTGGCAAGGGAGGTGGAGGTGGTGGAGGCGGTGGATTTGGGGGAGGGGCTGGTGGAGGCATTGGCAAGGGTGGTGGAGTTGGAGGAGGAGCTGGTGGAGGAGTAGGTGGTGGAGCTGGGGGAGGTGTTGGTGGAGGCATTGGTAAGGGTGGTGGAGTTGGAGGGGGAGCTGGTGGAGGAGTAGGTGGTGGAGCTGGGGGAGGATTTGGAAAAGGTGGTGGAGTAGGTGGTGGGCATGGAAAAGGTGGTGGAGTTGGTGGGGGCGCCGGTGGAGGATTTGGAAAAGGTGGTGGCAAGGGAGGTGGAGGTGGTGGAGGCGGTGGATTTGGGGGAGGGGCTGGTGGAGGCATTGGCAAGGGTGGTGGAGTTGGAGGAGGAGCTGGTGGAGGAGTAGGTGGTGGAGCTGGGGGAGGTGTTGGTGGAGGCATTGGTAAGGGTGGTGGAGTTGGAGGGGGAGCTGGTGGAGGAGTAGGTGGTGGAGCTGGGGGAGGATTTGGAAAAGGTGGTGGAGTAGGTGGTGGGCATGGAAAAGGTGGTGGAGTTGGTGGGGGCGCCGGTGGAGGATTTGGAAAAGGTGGTGGCAAGGGAGGTGGAGGTGGTGGAGGCGGTGGATTTGGGGGAGGGGCTGGTGGAGGCATTGGCAAGGGTGGTGGAGTTGGAGGAGGAGCTGGTGGAGGAGTAGGTGGTGGAGCTGGGGGAGGTGTTGGTGGAGGCATTGGTAAGGGTGGTGGAGTTGGAGGGGGAGCTGGTGGAGGAGTAGGTGGTGGAGCTGGGGGAGGATTTGGAAAAGGTGGTGGAGTAGGTGGTGGGCATGGAAAAGGTGGTGGAGTTGGTGGGGGCGCCGGTGGAGGATTTGGAAAAGGTGGTGGCAAGGGAGGTGGAGGTGGTGGAGGCGGTGGATTTGGGGGAGGGGCTGGTGGAGGCATTGGCAAGGGTGGTGGAGTTGGAGGAGGAGCTGGTGGAGGAGTAGGTGGTGGAGCTGGGGGAGGTGTTGGTGGAGGCATTGGTAAGGGTGGTGGAGTTGGAGGGGGAGCTGGTGGAGGAGTAGGTGGTGGAGCTGGGGGAGGATTTGGAAAAGGTGGTGGAGTAGGTGGTGGGCATGGAAAAGGTGGTGGAGTTGGTGGGGGCGCCGGTGGAGGATTTGGAAAAGGTGGTGGCAAGGGAGGTGGAGGTGGTGGAGGCGGTGGATTTGGGGGAGGGGCTGGTGGAGGCATTGGCAAGGGTGGTGGAGTTGGAGGAGGAGCTGGTGGAGGAGTAGGTGGTGGAGCTGGGGGAGGTGTTGGTGGAGGCATTGGTAAGGGTGGTGGAGTTGGAGGGGGAGCTGGTGGAGGAGTAGGTGGTGGAGCTGGGGGAGGATTTGGAAAAGGTGGTGGAGTAGGTGGTGGGCATGGAAAAGGTGGTGGAGTTGGTGGGGGCGCCGGTGGAGGATTTGGAAAAGGTGGTGGCAAGGGAGGTGGAGGTGGTGGAGGCGGTGGATTTGGGGGAGGGGCTGGTGGAGGCATTGGCAAGGGTGGTGGAGTTGGAGGAGGAGCTGGTGGAGGAGTAGGTGGTGGAGCTGGGGGAGGTGTTGGTGGAGGCATTGGTAAGGGTGGTGGAGTTGGAGGGGGAGCTGGTGGAGGAGTAGGTGGTGGAGCTGGGGGAGGATTTGGAAAAGGTGGTGGAGTAGGTGGTGGGCATGGAAAAGGTGGTGGAGTTGGTGGGGGCGCCGGTGGAGGATTTGGAAAAGGTGGTGGCAAGGGAGGTGGAGGTGGTGGAGGCGGTGGATTTGGGGGAGGGGCTGGTGGAGGCATTGGCAAGGGTGGTGGAGTTGGAGGAGGAGCTGGTGGAGGAGTAGGTGGTGGAGCTGGGGGAGGTGTTGGTGGAGGCATTGGTAAGGGTGGTGGAGTTGGAGGGGGAGCTGGTGGAGGAGTAGGTGGTGGAGCTGGGGGAGGATTTGGAAAAGGTGGTGGAGTAGGTGGTGGGCATGGAAAAGGTGGTGGAGTTGGTGGGGGCGCCGGTGGAGGATTTGGAAAAGGTGGTGGCAAGGGAGGTGGAGGTGGTGGAGGCGGTGGATTTGGGGGAGGGGCTGGTGGAGGCATTGGCAAGGGTGGTGGAGTTGGAGGAGGAGCTGGTGGAGGAGTAGGTGGTGGAGCTGGGGGAGGTGTTGGTGGAGGCATTGGTAAGGGTGGTGGAGTTGGAGGGGGAGCTGGTGGAGGAGTAGGTGGTGGAGCTGGGGGAGGATTTGGAAAAGGTGGTGGAGTAGGTGGTGGGCATGGAAAAGGTGGTGGAGTTGGTGGGGGCGCCGGTGGAGGATTTGGAAAAGGTGGTGGCAAGGGAGGTGGAGGTGGTGGAGGCGGTGGATTTGGGGGAGGGGCTGGTGGAGGCATTGGCAAGGGTGGTGGAGTTGGAGGAGGAGCTGGTGGAGGAGTAGGTGGTGGAGCTGGGGGAGGTGTTGGTGGAGGCATTGGTAAGGGTGGTGGAGTTGGAGGGGGAGCTGGTGGAGGAGTAGGTGGTGGAGCTGGGGGAGGATTTGGAAAAGGTGGTGGAGTAGGTGGTGGGCATGGAAAAGGTGGTGGAGTTGGTGGGGGCGCCGGTGGAGGATTTGGAAAAGGTGGTGGCAAGGGAGGTGGAGGTGGTGGAGGCGGTGGATTTGGGGGAGGGGCTGGTGGAGGCATTGGCAAGGGTGGTGGAGTTGGAGGAGGAGCTGGTGGAGGAGTAGGTGGTGGAGCTGGGGGAGGTGTTGGTGGAGGCATTGGTAAGGGTGGTGGAGTTGGAGGGGGAGCTGGTGGAGGAGTAGGTGGTGGAGCTGGGGGAGGATTTGGAAAAGGTGGTGGAGTAGGTGGTGGGCATGGAAAAGGTGGTGGAGTTGGTGGGGGCGCCGGTGGAGGATTTGGAAAAGGTGGTGGCAAGGGAGGTGGAGGTGGTGGAGGCGGTGGATTTGGGGGAGGGGCTGGTGGAGGCATTGGCAAGGGTGGTGGAGTTGGAGGAGGAGCTGGTGGAGGAGTAGGTGGTGGAGCTGGGGGAGGTGTTGGTGGAGGCATTGGTAAGGGTGGTGGAGTTGGAGGGGGAGCTGGTGGAGGAGTAGGTGGTGGAGCTGGGGGAGGATTTGGAAAAGGTGGTGGAGTAGGTGGTGGGCATGGAAAAGGTGGTGGAGTTGGTGGGGGCGCCGGTGGAGGATTTGGAAAAGGTGGTGGCAAGGGAGGTGGAGGTGGTGGAGGCGGTGGATTTGGGGGAGGGGCTGGTGGAGGCATTGGCAAGGGTGGTGGAGTTGGAGGAGGAGCTGGTGGAGGAGTAGGTGGTGGAGCTGGGGGAGGTGTTGGTGGAGGCATTGGTAAGGGTGGTGGAGTTGGAGGGGGAGCTGGTGGAGGAGTAGGTGGTGGAGCTGGGGGAGGATTTGGAAAAGGTGGTGGAGTAGGTGGTGGGCATGGAAAAGGTGGTGGAGTTGGTGGGGGCGCCGGTGGAGGATTTGGAAAAGGTGGTGGCAAGGGAGGTGGAGGTGGTGGAGGCGGTGGATTTGGGGGAGGGGCTGGTGGAGGCATTGGCAAGGGTGGTGGAGTTGGAGGAGGAGCTGGTGGAGGAGTAGGTGGTGGAGCTGGGGGAGGTGTTGGTGGAGGCATTGGTAAGGGTGGTGGAGTTGGAGGGGGAGCTGGTGGAGGAGTAGGTGGTGGAGCTGGGGGAGGATTTGGAAAAGGTGGTGGAGTAGGTGGTGGGCATGGAAAAGGTGGTGGAGTTGGTGGGGGCGCCGGTGGAGGATTTGGAAAAGGTGGTGGCAAGGGAGGTGGAGGTGGTGGAGGCGGTGGATTTGGGGGAGGGGCTGGTGGAGGCATTGGCAAGGGTGGTGGAGTTGGAGGAGGAGCTGGTGGAGGAGTAGGTGGTGGAGCTGGGGGAGGTGTTGGTGGAGGCATTGGTAAGGGTGGTGGAGTTGGAGGGGGAGCTGGTGGAGGAGTAGGTGGTGGAGCTGGGGGAGGATTTGGAAAAGGTGGTGGAGTAGGTGGTGGGCATGGAAAAGGTGGTGGAGTTGGTGGGGGCGCCGGTGGAGGATTTGGAAAAGGTGGTGGCAAGGGAGGTGGAGGTGGTGGAGGCGGTGGATTTGGGGGAGGGGCTGGTGGAGGCATTGGCAAGGGTGGTGGAGTTGGAGGAGGAGCTGGTGGAGGAGTAGGTGGTGGAGCTGGGGGAGGTGTTGGTGGAGGCATTGGTAAGGGTGGTGGAGTTGGAGGGGGAGCTGGTGGAGGAGTAGGTGGTGGAGCTGGGGGAGGATTTGGAAAAGGTGGTGGAGTAGGTGGTGGGCATGGAAAAGGTGGTGGAGTTGGTGGGGGCGCCGGTGGAGGATTTGGAAAAGGTGGTGGCAAGGGAGGTGGAGGTGGTGGAGGCGGTGGATTTGGGGGAGGGGCTGGTGGAGGCATTGGCAAGGGTGGTGGAGTTGGAGGAGGAGCTGGTGGAGGAGTAGGTGGTGGAGCTGGGGGAGGTGTTGGTGGAGGCATTGGTAAGGGTGGTGGAGTTGGAGGGGGAGCTGGTGGAGGAGTAGGTGGTGGAGCTGGGGGAGGATTTGGAAAAGGTGGTGGAGTAGGTGGTGGGCATGGAAAAGGTGGTGGAGTTGGTGGGGGCGCCGGTGGAGGATTTGGAAAAGGTGGTGGCAAGGGAGGTGGAGGTGGTGGAGGCGGTGGATTTGGGGGAGGGGCTGGTGGAGGCATTGGCAAGGGTGGTGGAGTTGGAGGAGGAGCTGGTGGAGGAGTAGGTGGTGGAGCTGGGGGAGGTGTTGGTGGAGGCATTGGTAAGGGTGGTGGAGTTGGAGGGGGAGCTGGTGGAGGAGTAGGTGGTGGAGCTGGGGGAGGATTTGGAAAAGGTGGTGGAGTAGGTGGTGGGCATGGAAAAGGTGGTGGGGGCGCCGGTGGAGGATTTGGAAAAGGTGGTGGTGGAGGAATCGGAAAAGGTGGTGGGGTTGGTGGAGGTGCTGGTGGTGGAATAGGAGGTGGCTCTGGTGGTGGAGTCGGCGGAGGATTCGGCAAAGGTGGCGGAATTGGTGGAGGTATAGGAGGAGGTGCTGGCGGTGGGTTTGGTGGAGGAGCAGGTGGGGGTGGAGGCGGTGGATTTGGTGGCGGAGGTGGTGGATTTGGTGGCGGAGGTGGTGGTGGAATTGGACATCCCTGAAAACGTTGCATGAAAATAGACAGACATACAAGAATGCATCTGTGCAGAAGTAACGAGAGTCTAATGACACTACTATCCTATTCCTATATTAATTCCCATCGTTAGTACGTGGAAAATTTTTCACGTTTGTTTTAGCTAAATCTCTCCCTACCTATTCTCATATGTGTTCACTTATTCTGCTTTAGATGTTTGTCCCCATCCCCAATTTACTATAAATACAAATATTTCTATTCCTTAATATCTTTGCTTGCAACATCTGTCATTCATCGTTCGGTTCATTTGATTCAATTAATAAAAACTGACATCAATAATACCTATAAATTTCTGTCGAGTTCAATATATTTTTGCGCTAGATGATTAATTTGATTAAAATCGACCGTTTAGGTAGCAAACATTTATTCCTCCCTCTATAGTGATGGACATCTCATGTATGAGATTCTTGTTACCCGATTGTTCCATATATATAACTTTTGATTTATGGGCTCGAGTTGTACGAATATTGACTCTAGTAATTCAAACATCGGTGAGAATCCAATTCTTGAAAAATTTAGGATTCTTGGATAGACTTATCCATGGGGNAACTTTTGATTTATGGGCTCGAGTTGTACAAATATTGACTCTAGTAATTCAAACATTGGTGAGAATCCAATTCTTGAAAAATTTAGGATTCTTGGATAGACTTATCCATGGGGCATGAGTCATTGCTTAAAAGATAGACTAGGCGTAGTGACCAGGACAACATTTTAATATTCATACACAAACGTTAGTCAGTCTCGAAATAAAACCAAGCCCATGAGTTTAATGCGATTCTCTTTTTTTATTCCCTTGTTGTCACATGTTTCTTACTCAACATTGGTGACAATAAATGTTGCCCTATTCTTGATGACATTATTATCTAATGGAAAAGAGACCATTTCATTCCAAACTAAATAAATTAAAGCTAGAGATTAGAAGAAGAACGCATAAATATAGACGATAAATTTACTTGAAATTTAAAAGTGGAAGGTCCGGAGATTAAATAAAACATTNCTTTTTTTACACTCAACATTGGTGACAATAAATGTTGCACTATTCTTGATGACATTATTATCTAATGGAAAAGAGACCATTTCATTCCAAACTAAATAAATTAAAGCTAGAGATTAGAAGAAGATCGCATAAATATAGACGATAAATTTAATTGAAATTTAAAAGTGGAAGGTCCGGAGATTAAATAAAACATTAAAAAAAGGTTTTTTTTTCAAATTTTCTACTTCTTTCTCCCTTTTTCTGGGAAAAGAAGTTGAGGATCTCTGGGTGGCATCGCTCTATTATGCTTCCTCTCATGCATTGCGAGAAATTTCTCATTGCTAACTTTCGTAAGGGNATCGCATAAATATAGACGATAAATTTACTTGAAATTTAAAAGTGGAAGGTCCGGAGATTAAATAAAACATTAAAAAAAGGTTTTTTTTCAAATTTTCTACTTCTTTCTCCCTTTTTCTGGGAAAAGAAGTTGAGGATCTGTGGGTGGCATCGCTCTATTATGCTTCCTCTCATGCATTGCGAGAAATTTCTCATTGCTAACTTTCGTAAGGGTCTAGGTCAAGTCTCCGTTCAAGTGTGGTTGATCATTTTTCAAGATCGTTGACATGATTAAAGCTAAATTATTTGAAGATTAAGCTGTGATGTTTTAGTGAGTAGAATTTGGTACTTTAGGACACAATTTTGCCTCTGAATACTACAAGAAAAAAAGTGATAGTTGGCATTTAATCGTTAGCGTTTGTAGTAAACGCCGTTTGTGATTGTTAAGTATAGACATTTAATGAATGCCACTAATTACTTGAGATATTAAACGCCACTAATTCTTGATTAATTTAAATTTAGCACTAATTTTTGGCTAATAAACGCCACTAATTGTCGGCGTTCAAAATTAATTTGTGGTTTGAGAGTAATAGGTTGTGGAGAACTACACCAGGACAAAAAAAAATTTATTTCGTTTGTATAATAGCTAGTAATTTCATCGTTTATATAAATGCTAGAAATTTCATCGCCAGTTCGACTCTGACAAGCAAACGAATGTTATAGCTTTTAAATAAATAGAGACTTTTTCCGATAACAGAATAGACAACACTCAGTACACAACGTTTTATAGTGGGTTTTGCCGGTGTTTGTAAAAATTCTTGTATTATCATTAAATGATCGTGAGTTCTAACATTAGTTGGACTCTCACTGTTAATTTTATTTGATTAAGTTAATGTTTTAAATCTAAAAATATTATTATAATTAAAATAGGTAGCCATAAGGCAAACATGTCACACGAGCACTTAACACCAAATGGCAATATGTTTTACCCATAAAAAAATTGCAATTGACGAAAGATAGACACCCATAAAAAAAATGGCAATTAAAGAGAGACAGAGGGAGAGAATTTGGAGTTGTGTTCACTTTTAGTGGTGTTAATTCGGACACTTTAATACGAATCCGACACGAACGATTATAAAATTAACACGATTATTAAATATATATAATAAATAATTTAAATTAATATTTAATATCAAAATAAATTAAATAAATTTTTTTTCCATAGATCTTGACACAAATATAACACAAATAATAATAACATGACACNACTAAAAATAAATTAAATAATTTTTTTTTATAGATCTGGACACAAATATAACACAAATAATAATAACATGACACAGTGAACTACACAAATACGATATGATTCACACCTCTGTTCATTATCGTAACATATGAGGTTTGGTTTCTGGATTTAGATATTTTTGATTTTAAATTTATTAGTTTTATGTCAAATCAAATAATTCACTGGTAGATTTATTGAATCACATGCAATAGGTGTTAACCAGACCCACAAATCATGCAAATGAATCCCACTGAATTTGACGGTGTATGATTTCATTAAATTAGTAGCAATCTAGTGCGGTGTACAAAATTTATTATCTCTTTTGATTATCATTTTATTTCTAAATTTTTCGTTTTCATGATATCTCTGAATAATTTCTATTAATAATAAAATGTTATTTATTTATATTTTAAATAATTAAGAAAGATAATTAAAATTTTAAATTTTAAAATAATTTTAAAAAGTGGTAAAAATGGTTACGAAAAAATTGTAATATTTTGATTGTAGTGAATTAATTAAATATTTCAAAATTCTAGTAAATTAACATTTAGGGAAAGAGGCTTTCTCAATGCCTCCGTCTCTAATTTGATTGTTTTATAGTATAATAAGATTTAATTAATGTTCCGTTTGATAGGAATGATGAAAAGTATGAGATATTAACTTTCTATCTTTCAAGGAAGAAAGGTAAGAATGATATATTTTTTCTTTCTTTGTGTTTGGTATGATGGATAGAAAATAAAAATGACTAATTTTTTTTTTGTACTGGCTAAAACTAGGTGTGACAATCGAGTCGTATCGTGTCAGACTCGTGTTGAGTCATTATGTGTTTGTATCGAATATTAGTCAAACCTAACGCAACTCATTTAACTAATTGTGTCGTGTCGAGTTGCGAATTGACCTATTTATTTTCGTGTCGTATTCGTTTGACCTATTTATTTTCGTGTCGTATTCGTATTCGTGTTGACCCACATAAACTTTGAATAAAAAATATAACGCTAATATTCTATTATCACTTAATTGAATCCATGTTAATAGTTTTTCTACAAAATAAAAATTAACTTAAATAAAATATAATAATAATAATAAGTAAAAATATCTTTGTTATATAATAATTATGTTAGTACTTAATAAATAGTTACAAATAATTAACATTTTATATCTATAATACTAATTAAACATGTTGTTTTCGTATTAATTTCGTATAATCATACAAACGAGAAAATATAGAAAGTGTTTATTTTTAAATAAACGAGTTGATGATATCGATTTTAAATTTGACGGGTTGAACTGAATATGAGCCTTTATATTTTTTATTCGCGTATCAGGTCATTTTCAAGTTCGTGTCGAGTTATAATTGAGTTCGTATCATAAAATCCGTGTCAAGTTCGAGNTTGTATAATCATACAAACGAGAAAATAGAGAAAGTGTTTATTTTTAAATAAACGAGTTGATGATATCGATTTTAAATTTGACGGGTTGAACTAAATATGAGCTTTTATATTTTTTATTCGCGTATCAGGTCATTTTTAAGTTCGTGTCGAGTTATAATTGAGTTCGTATCATAAAATCCGTGTCAAGTTCGAGTCGTGTCATCGTATTTGGTCGAAAATTTTCACTCCTAGATAAGATAAAAAAAATAATATATTTTTTTTTAATTTAAAATTTTTATTTTTATTTTTAAAATATATATAAGTACATATTTTATCATTATATTTTTATGTAAAATTAATATATACATAATATATGTATATATCAAAAGATATATAGACAAATAAGAAACATTTCAACACAAATAATTAATTTTTCATCCACTTTCCTTTCGATTTTGGAAGGATTGATTTTGGTGAAATGGAAAGAAAGTTAATTCATCATTTCTATTTTCCTTTCTTACCAAACATAAAGTTTTATTTATCTCTCTAACTTTTCATTCTTCTAACTTTCTATCATACCAAATAGAGCATAAAATTAATAAGATTTGAAATTGAGAAGATCAAGTTGCCAAAAAAATAAAATAAAAAAGAAGTTGAAAAGATCCGAATCTTCACCATTTAATTCAGTGGGAGTGAANCCTTTCTATTTTCCTTCCTTACCAAACATAAAGTTTTATTTATTCCTCTAACTTTTCATTCTTCTAACTTTCTATCATACCAAATAGAGCATAAAATTAATAAGATTTGAAATTGAGAAGATCAAGTTGCCAAAAAAATAAAATAAAAAAGAAGTTGAAAAGATCCGAATCTTCACCATTTAATTCAGTGGGAGTGAATTTGTGGCGAAGTAACGAGAAAAGGTGTAACTTGAGAGTTATTTATCACAATGCGATAAATTTTAAATTTTGTTATTGATCCATAGCATTTTTTGAACTCAATTACTAAATTATGATACATTTTAAAAATAAAATTAACAACCCCGCTTTTGTTTGAAAATGGGGTTAATAAGACAATTAACTCTACTTTCAAATAAAAATGTGATAAGTAGTTACAATAATAACAAATGAAAAGGGTGAAAAACATGTTTACTAAACACACCTTTCTGTAGAAGTGTGTTTAGTAAACCCGTTTTTCACCTATTGCCTACAATATTTAGTTAGATTCATAATAAATGAAAAGAGTGTTTAATAAACACATTTTTTTGTTTTACTTTTGCTTAAAAGTCTGTTTAGTAAACACATTTTTAATCTGTAGCCCACAAATTTTCGTATTTAGATCACACTTTTTATTATTATTTAAAAATAGGAGTTGTTGACTCCGTTTTATATTGAAAGTGGGGTTATTGAATATGTACTCTAATGAANCAATAATCACAAATGAAAAGCGTGAAAAACATGTTTACTAAACACACCTTTCTGTAGAAGTGTGTTTAGTAAACCCGTTTTTCACCTATTGCCCACAATATTTAGTTAGATTCATAATAAATGAAAAGAGTGTTTAATAAACACATTTTTTGTTTTACTTTTGCTTAAAAGTCTGTTTAGTAAACACATTTTTAATCTGTAGCCCACAAATTTTCGTATTTAGATCACACTTTTTATTATTATTTAAAAATAGGAGTTGTTGACTCCGTTTTATATTGAAAGTGGGGTTATTGAATATGTACTCTAATGAAAATAAATTTGTTCAATCCGCTTTTAAAATGTATCGTAATTTGTTAAATAAGTTCCAAAGTACAGTAAATCGATAATAAAATTTGAAATTTTGCCACATTGTGATAAATAACACTAAAACTTAGTACCATAATGTTAAATTACTAATGGAGCCAAAATATATTAACTCGAAACAACTGGAATGTAAAACATAGAAGGATTGAAGATTTTTTTTTTTTTTTTGCTGGTTAGTAGGATTGAAGATTAATATTTAATTTCGGAACTTAATTGTGGAATTATGTTTTTTTTTTTATAGAAACAGTAGGAATTCGATTAAATAAGAATATCGGAGAGGAGGAGGGGCACAATGAAAGATAGTGCCTCTTCCTCCCATACAACCACACAATCAACATTAATAGCGTGTCTAGTTAGCTTATGAGCTACNAGGAATTCGATTAAATAAGAATATCGGAGAGGAGGAGGGGCACAATGAAAGATAGTGCCTCTTCCTCCCATACAACCACACAATCAACATTAATAGCGTGTCTAGTTAGCTTATAAGCTACTTTATATCATGTTCTTCTAACTGTAGATACATAATAACATTGAAAAGAACGTAAACTAAATATNTGAGCTACCTTATACCATGTTCTTCTAACTGTAGATACATAATAACATTGAAAAGAACGTAAACTAAATATGTTATCCGCTAAAATAGAGCCCAAGGGATCAAAATCATTGTCTACATCTGTGAGCGTCTTCATCACGTTAGTGGAATCCCCTTCCAAAACAATTCCATCATAGCCTTGTTGCACAACAAAGCGGACAACCTCCCTAGCAGCTAAAATTTATGTTGTTTGTGCCACACAGGGGGAGATGACTTTCCTAGACAAGCCAGTAACAAAAATACCTCGTTTGTCTCTTATTACCAAGCCTACTCCGTTCGCTCCTTCTACCTCGAACACGGCTCCATCAAAATTAACTTTTAAAGAGTGCATACTTGGGAGAAACCACAGAAAGGCGGTGTCTGCTATTGCTGGTGCCAAGACAATGGACTCCACTGATTGTTCATATTGTATGATATATTCAGTTGCCTTATAACTTAATGACACAGGTCCCTCTTCAAATTCTGAAATAGCACTTCGTTTCTATTCCTCTAAATTAACCAACAATGGACTAAGAATAGGGAGAATTGATATGGGTTCATTTGCTGTGACATTTCCCACAGCCAATTATAGATTTGGCCTATATGGCGCTGCAAGATAGTTTAGTGGACTGGATTCCCATGAATTGCTGGCCCAAGCCCATTCTTTCATCATATGTATCACAGTTTCAACTTCCTTTCCACAAACACAACATATGTCATCCGTCCGGATCCTCCTTCGCATAAGATTTTCACTGGTAGGGAGAGTATTAGTCCCCATTCTCCAAGTGGAATTATGTTTTAATTGTAATATTATCAGCCCTAGAGTTTAATTAAGTTCGTTATGAGGCAGTTGCATGCACATTTTGGATTTTACATCTTAAGGGCCCCTTTGTACTCCTTGATTTTCAAAAGGACCATGCCATTTAAATTTCAAAAGTTGACACTATTTGCTGATTTTACCGATCACAACCTATGTGACCAATGTAATTTTTCAAAGGTTAGGAGAATTAAATGCGATTATTCAAATATTATGGGGTGATCATATTCTTCTTTTGTCAAATGTCGAAATCCATTTAACATTTCATACTGCGAATCAAATAAAGAAAATTTTAAAAAGGTCCCCATGAATTCGTGATTGAATAAGCGCGCCCCTAAAGTTTAACAAATCAGTCCCTTGNTCAAATGCCATTATTCAAATATTATGGGGTGATCATATTCTTCTTTTATCAAATGTCGAAATCCATTTAACATTTCATAATGCGAATCAAATAAAGAAAATTTTAAAAAGGTCTCCATGAATTCGTGATTGAATAAGCGCGCCCCTAAAGTTTAACAAATCAGTCCCTTGCTGTATAACAATTGAAGAAACCAAAATTTTCAAAGAAGCCTTTGTGTAAGGTCTAAAACCCTGAAAGCCCTTGTGCTTATTGGAGTTTCGAAGTCCTTTGAATCCTCATTACAGTGTTTACGGTTGATANAAAGAAGCCTTTGTTCAAGGTCTAAAACCCTGAAAACCCTTGTGCTTATTGGAGTTTCGAAGTCCTTTGAATCCTCATTACAGTGTTTACGGNAGAGAAGCCTTTGTGTAAGGTCTAAAACCCTGAAAGCCCTTGTGCTTATTGGAGTTTCGAAGTCCTTTGAATCCTCATTACAGTGTTTACGGTTGATAGAATCAGATTTATTTTTTTAAGGTAAATATATATGACAATCCTTCGTTTTTTTTTTTGTAATGAACTTGTTGGAGGTGATCCTGTTTGGTTGCGGAGAAAATTCAAGAAAAATTAAATGTTCAATGTTCAAGTTACATTGTACTTGAGATTGATTTTCATATTTGAGTAATAAAAAAAAAACCCAGAATCCATACATTAAAATGTTAACAATAGTGTCTTTTTGCATTGTTTTCTTTCATTTTCCTTGGTTTTCCAGGAACCAACCTGACACCCCATTACATTCAAAAATGCCTGACATTCAGGAGATTGTGAATGAGTTTGTAGCCAAGCTCAACAAACGGTGAGTTAGTCTGTGTCATTGTTGTTGACAGAAAAGTTTTTTTCTTTTATATGTTGAGTTCAATTGCTATGTACTTGATTGATTATGTGTGGCATTCCTTGAATTTTGTGGTTCCAATAAGGTCAAAGGATCGCAGGCGACTGCTCGGCTTACAGCAGAGTTGCTTAGGTCTGTAATTTCAATACACAAACTGCCACCTACTAACCAGGCTGCAGCACTTATTGAGGCTGTGAGGGGTATAGGAGAGAAATTAATTGCCGCGAATCCTGTTGGTATGCATCCTCTCAGTTTCTCTTGATAAATAAGTATATCTCGGGAGTTTGAATGCCATAGACGTCAATCACTGACGCAAACTACAGGTTTCATGTATTTTGGGTGCTAGTAATTGTTTGCAAGTTACATTTTCGAATGCTCATTTATTTGGATGTTTTTTTTGTGAAAACCCTTATGTTCATTCATATAAAAGAATGTGGTTTTATGGCAAATCATTGTTGCAAATTATGTCACTGACAAATTTGGATTATTTTTCTTCTATCCATATTCCACTTTCTGGCTTTATGTTTCCATTATCCGCAATACCAAATCTGTACAAATAATGTTATTTTACCTCCTGGGCATTGGATGCAAGAGAAAGTCATATAAGGTTATTGATTTTCTATGGGTATGAGGTTTTCGTTATTTACCATTACTATTTAGCAGCAGATGAGTAGTGGTGCATGTAGTTGCTGTATAATTTATACGAGAGGAGTAGAAATGAAGTGGGACAAAAACTAACCAGGATTTACCATCAATCTCTTGAATTTATTGGAGTTGAAAAAAACCTATGTACTTTTTCTGTAAGGTTTCTGAATTGTGAATTTTCTTGTGGTGGCCAACAAACCCCTGTCATGAGTGATTTTAGTATTTTTAACATATTTGTACCCTTCAATGAACTTTCTACTCCTTGTGATGTTCAGGGATAGACATGGCATTCCCAGAATGCCCTTGCATTGATTTTTTTAATTTGATTTAGTTTTTGATGTGCTATCAAATAAAGCTGACAGAAATTCAAAAGGTGAAATTGTATTTAAGCCTGTGTTTAGTTTGCGTTGTAGGCATGCCATCAAGAAATTAACTCATTTTTCTCTTTTCCCTCTCTACATCGAACCAAATATATTTAAATGTGATATAGACAGTGGGAGAGGGATTCATACAGGCATCATCTCAGCTCTTAGAAGGTTTCGATGAGATTATGGAAAAATACGTACTTAAAACATTTTGTAGGAAAAAAATTTGCTAATGTGATTGCTTTTAGAGATATGCTTGTCTTGATTTGGATGCAAATTCCAATGATTTTATTTTTCGAAATGATATCCTAATCGATGATAGGCCTAGTTTCATGTCTCATTCAGTGGATAGACTTAAGTATCCCCCACCCCTCTGAATAGGAATTTGAGCACAGAATTGCTGCTCACGAGTTCCCTCAGAGATACCTCTCTTGTTCCAGCAACTAGTCTTACGAACGACTTGGGCAATTTCTATAGGCTGAATTATGCTTACAAAGACCATACTCTTCAGGACAAAAACAAAGACCTTACTCCACATTTTTTAGGTAGCTTTTGTGGGTGCATCTATTGTTTACTGTAAGCCATATTGTTTCAGTTGTGAAGAGGACATCTTCAGAAGATAATGTTCAGCATTAGGTACATATAGTTTTGCTTCAAATACCTCATTTATCTAATTCTTCAATGGGTGATTTCATAGCAGAGGGTGCCATCTGAAAACAAAGCTAAATTTCTTATTGAGACCAAGATGTGAGTAGGTGTGCCATAGTTAAATGGATATCCTGGTGCTATTTACTGTAATACAACAATGCTGTCTCAACTACTGTGGCTTTGAATTTTCGCTGAAGGGACTATTGCTCCAAACTTGATATCTAGATACTCATGCTTAATTTCAGTATGCTGTTCTCTGAAACTCATGGATACTTCCTTGGAATACCACACACACCTCTTGTTCTTTTTGTGTGTATCCAAACAATTATTTTTACAAAGAGGCATACGTGTATTGTAATGTTAACAAATATCCATAAGATATAAGAACCGACAAGCTGTAGCTTACTTGGTCTGGGCGGTTGTGAAGATAAGTAAGAAGCACGAGTTCAAGACCTTCTAAATATATTATATGTACACATACGAGTCCTCCAAGACTTGAAACCCCAAGCTCTTACACAACCCCAGACCACTCAAATCAATTGCGCGATAACTTATTGATATTCACACACACGACCTTTCCGTCATCCTCCCTCCCCAAACCAAGTCAGAGACATGTATGCATGGCANACAACCCCAGACCACTCAAATCAATTGCGAGATAACTTATTGATATTCACACACACACACACGCGACCTTTCCGTCATCCTCCCTCCCCAAACCAAGTCAGAGACATGTATGCATGGCATTGCAATCATATATATATATATATATACACACACACAACTCTGTAGTTTTAGTGCTCCATATAAACTCTATTGTAAGGTCCAAATGTGTGAGACCACATTTTCATGCATATTGCCAACACAGCCTGACTTCTATCCATGCATCACTGCTGGCTTTGATACAAATACACTTCTTTAAGATGTTTCTGTACATTGGTCAAATACATACAATTTTACTTTGAGTGTGTGTACACATACAGAATTTGCATACGTCCTATAATAGGTCTAACACATGCCAAACTGATGGAAGTGCAGAGCTTGCTATTGGGAATATTGTGAGACGTGTTCTGTATATTATTAGGGAGGAGGAACTTTCTCTGTTGACAAGTGATACTGAAGAGTTAAATTTCCCAGCTGTAAGTGGTGTTGACGAGATCATTGACCAAGATTATAATTCAGTTACATCAGCTGCTGCAATTGCTTCTAGAAACTTTTTACGTTCTCCTTCACTGCGTACCCTATTGGAGAAAATGCCAAATTCAGCAGCAGCTTGCCAGACCTCTTCTGGTGGAGATTCTGGGGAAAAATGCAAATGTAAGCTGTTTGTCTATGTCATAGGAAACTCCTAAACTTCACAGTTACATGAATTCATACTGAAAGCAGTACAAAATGTCTAAGTAGTTCCTTTATTTCAACATTTTGTACCACTCTTTACCACAGTTGATAAACATGCAAGGAGCCGAAATTTGAAGCATAATGTGATTGAGGCTGTCAATATGCCAATTGATGATATTGATACTTTCCATGAGTAATCTCTCTCTCTCTAACTGTCTTCCTTTTGAAATATGAAGATATGCATTTTACCAAAAATTAGTTTTTGAGTTTTACTTTTGCTTAAATAAGTACAAAAAATTGTACCGGCTTTTAAATTGCCTAAATAAATTTGAGAAATTTGGGCTCATAAACTCAACCCATAATATTAAAATAAATATTTTAGAAAAAAAAAGAGAAACAACTAAGGGTTAAAAACAATTTTAACTAGTCAACCAAAATATACCATTCATTTGTAATCATTCTCTCTCTATAATAAACTAAGACCTCCCTCTTTAGTAAATACAAATTCTTTTTTTTTTTTGTGCTACGAATTTTTTTTATTAAACTATAAAAATTAAAATCAGTAGATTATGATTGTTTAAAATTAAAATTGATAAAATTTTCTCTAAAATTGATTATTACAGTAAAGATTAGACTACTTTTAATCTAAAAAAATAATTTTTAAATAAAAAATTATTAATATTAAAAATAAAAAGTCTCATTTGTAGTAGTCGTTTTAGGTCTGAAATAGTCTTGGCTCCAACTGAGAATGGAAAACCTTGTTTGTTTTTTTTCCCGTGAAACGACACTCCCTACGTGTAAAATAAAAGGTTAATAGCACTTTTAGTTCTTTAAGTATACATTTTTTTTTATCAATTTAGTTCTCATTAAATCAATTTTATTAATTTGGTTCGTAAAATATTTAATTCGTGTCATTTTTGTCTCTACATAGACTAGCCGTCAAGTTTTTTTGATGAAAATAATCACGTATCATTTTTTTAGATAGTATCATGTGCCTAAGATGTTTCCTACTGTCGAATGTTTAGTTTTAGTTATAGCTATTGATTTGCGATGGTCGAGTTTATCACCACAGCACTACAGAAGGCAAACTAGACATTCAATCCCTCTAGTAGTATCTGGTTTGCAGGGGTTATTACTGCAAATGAGTTTAAACCCATGACCATTAGAGGAGAGCCGGATTTTCACAATATAATTCACGAACACTATTAAAATTTTTTTTTTTTATGGTGATAATTTTTGATATTTGAGATTGATGCGAAATTAATTAGTAAGAGTTGACTAATTTGTGACATAAGGGAAAGGCTGACTAATTTTTCGGAACAATAAGAAACCCACGAACTGGAATAAATGAGTTGAATTATTATCAAAGATGACAAACTGTTAAGTTAATTGTTTTGTACGACGGGTTATCTGATTTTTCAAATGTTGACCAAATTTTATATGAATTCTTAAAGAAGTAATTATTATTTTTGCTTAGTTTTGTTAGTACAAAGGTCAAGCGAATTTTCCATTTATTGAAGATAGTGTAGAAACATATGATACGTTCAATTAAATAAACAAATTAAAATTAATAAAAACTCAGCATAACCTCGAAATAAAATAATCCAAACACTATGCAATTGCATGACATTCAACAAAAATATTTTAAGGTCTCTCAAAATACGTCCCTCATTTTATGTTGCCTTATAAACTATTCTCATTCTCATATTGTACCTTAAATTATTAGTTTGAGTTTTACATTACTTTAATATTTGTCTATTTTTTGCACAAAATATTTGAGTAAAAATAGAATTTTACAATATTTGAAGGTGTTGTTATTTCCCCTTTTTTCAAATGCCATAATTGTGATTTTTTTTTCTTAGTTTGCCATAAAAATTTGGGCATAAGTTAATTATATCGGTAATGTGAAAATGAAACTAATAGTATAAAAGTTAATGCAACAGATAACATAGTACTATAGTGTAGGTAGCTAAAGTATAATTTTCTCGCATTCTAGTCATCGCCTACAAATATCATATTTGGACTGGAAAAAAAAAGTTTTTCGCACTTTAAACCTCAAAAGAAGTCTCGATTCTTACTTTGCACTACAAAAGATTATTTTTTCTATGTGACACCCTGAATGTCATTTATTGATTCTAATGTGGTCCTCGGACTAACATCCGTTTCAAATTCTATTAAAATTTGATGCACATGCCCACTCACGTATGTTGTTCTTGGACAAAAATATAAACTTATCATTCATATTCTTGAATGATATGTGCATCAATTTTTAACAGAATTTGAATCGAATGTTAGTTTAATGGCCTCATTAAAACCAATTTATAACATTCAAGGTGCAAAATAATTTTTTTTTAAGGAATAAAATTAGAATTAAGTCATCTTTTAGAATGCAAAACGCAAAAATTCCAAAAAAATAAAAAATTGACAACTATTACAAGTATCTGAATTCGAGATTACAGTTGACACAAAGACACCTTGGGAAAAAAAAAACTAACAACCTTTACGGTGTCTTTTAAGCCTTGTAGCTCCTCTATATAACCGTCAACCTTATACACCCGGAGAAATCAAGAAAATCTTGTGAGTGACCCATGATCTTGAGAGCATTCAGAGGAGACCCAATAGTCGTTAACTCCTCTTCGTCACGATCAACAAAAACCCTATAATCCAGAAGATCTTGTAAGAGATTTCTTGTAATCTTTTTTCGATTTCTGTCTAGATGAATTTCTTCTTTGATTAGAAGTTGTTTGTAAGATTATTTGTTTTTCTGTTTCTAGTGTGAATTTTTTTTAATAATTAGAATTGGGTTTCAGAGTCTTCCAACTTTTCTCGGTATTGTTTTCATTTGGAACAAAAATAGAATGATTTAGACTCATAAAGTCTAATTCAAAAGATGGGGAAAATGGATTGTGATTATTACAATAACTGATTTTGCGAAGTCTGATTATGTTCTCTTATTTGGTTGTAGAAAAAAGTACTGATGATGATGTATTTGTGTCTAATTTGGGTAGATGTTGTATCTTTGTGTGTGTGTTTGTTTGTTTATATAATCTTCTTGTCAAGAGGCGGCCCAGAATAATTTGAGGCTTAAACCAAAAATTTTATATGAAACCTCGTTTAATATTTTAAGAAGATAATATATATTTTTTAAACTATTATTAGACGTTTCATAGAAAATTGCTCTATGATTTATTTTTAATATTTTAGTGCTTTTGGGATTGGACGGGATTAGATAAAAAATCGGGTGCAATTATGAAGTCAGGATTTTATAGATTAATAAATTGAATGAAATTATAAAGAGACAACAAGATAGTTAGCGATAAGGAGAAAAAACCGGAGCAATACAATGAGAGTTTGAGGGACAGACAAAGTTGAAAATAGGTGGTGAGAGTAGAGAAAAAAATAGTGAAAAAGAATTTGAGAGATTTCTAATTTTTCGTTACTTTTTGAATTTTTCAAAATGTTTTGTTATATTTTAGGATTATATATATAAGGCATTATATAGACCTGTGAAAATATTGTTACATTTTAGAACTTTCTATAAAGTTTTAGATAGATTTTTGAAATATATTAAGCCTTATATGGACAGGATTTATCATATTTGATGGATTTTTAGGAAGTTCAACATTTTAGCATTATCTATTCCATGTAATTATCATGCATTAGAATTTTTTTAATTCTCTAATTATTATAATTAGATTGCATCGAGAGGTAAAATACATATGTCCCCCTAACTATGTGTAATTTAATTTTTAATTAATAAAATTCCCTTATACCATCAAGGTTTGCCAAAAAAAAAAAAAAAAAAACAAACTTGGTCTATTCAAAAGGGTCTCAAAACATGAAGCTGACCTAATGACTAAAAATTAAATTAGGGCTTTAAGAGATTATTTTAATGGTTAGGTCTGCTATGTCCCCTCCCATTCAAATGATCGAAGTATTTGTGCATCTCGTAACAATTATAGTCTCTGTTTGCTCATCATTATCTCGTCTTCTTTTATGGAACCAATTAAATGAGACAAATTAATTAATGGATGACGTGTAAGGAATAAAGATAATATGAGTTACTCCATATTTTATGCAGTTTTTAAATTTGTCAAAAATAATGCGTGAACCGTTACAAGGGATATTGTCATAGTAAAGATGTTCAATGTTATAACGTGGTGTCACATAATTTTTTATTTTTAATAATTTTGGCATTAATATATAATAAACATTAGATATGTGTTATTTCATAATCATACTATACGAGTGCAATTGCTCAATGATAAAATCCATAGGAATTGAAAATAAACATAGATCATCATGTCTATAAGTACATATTTTTTAATAAACAGATCCGCACATCTATTTGTCTCTCCCGTCTCTTGCTTGAACCGCACTTTTCGAAACATAATATATTATTTCATGACTATTTTTATGTTTTTTTTATTTGTTTTATATGTTCTTTATGAAAATTGTGGTATAAGATTATCGACTATCAGTATATATTCATAATTTTTTGTTGTCTTGTTATTTAATTATTTAATTATTTTTTAATTTTTTATGATCCATAACTTGTTTATATAAGTAACGCTCACCTACTTTTTTGTTATGTTTTACTTTCTCTGATATAACTTTATCGAATTGTTTTTGATATTAATTAGTTTTTATTGTGGATCATTTATAAGAATGAACAATTTAATTAGTTGGTATTTTTGTATTGAAATGAAAAAAAAATCGAGTTTGAGATAAATAGAAAATGTGTTTGATTTATTTTAATTTGTGAAAGAGAGAGATATTGATTATACTTTTTTATTAAACTGTTAACCTTTTTTTTTTCCTTTAATAAAAATGTATGTGTACTGTATATTTGTGAGGTGGACTGCACTTTTAAACCTAAATTCTAAATTTTATTTTGACTTAATCTTTTAGAAGTTTTTTTATTAAACTAAATCACAATGAGTTTTAATTTTTGATCTATACTAAATTATTAAACTTTAAAATTTGGGACCTTTTTTTATGTGTGGGCCTAAAGCCCATGCTTTTTCCACTCCATTGTTGAGCCGGCCATGCTTCTTGTGTATGTGTGTGTTTGTATAATCTTCTTGTGATCTATACATTATCAAATTATGGGCAATGACGCCGTATTAATTTCTTGCTGTTTCATTTAGTGAATGTAGTGGGGATATGAGTTGAATCGTCTTTTCTAAAATTGCTGGCCATGTCACTAAGGATTTGTTTTTAGATTGTAAATTCAACTTCCTAATTGATGAGACTTTTCTGAAATACTCCATGATGAAGACACGTGTCCTCGGTATTACCAAAACACTGTTACAAGATCAAGCACCATCGGCTCAAAAAGTTCCCTCGCTCCCGAGGTACTCGTCATATGGGATCATGCATTCAGTACGTTTTACAACCGACACGTAGCCTCGGTCTGATATGGTACCTCGGTCGGTATACCTCCCTCGGTTCCGAGACGAGCCTTTCCTCGGTGCCGAGAGGTACCCCGTCCTGGACGCCTCCTCTGCTCCAGGATAAGCTATTGACGTACAGGTCATTAGCCTAGGCTAGTCTAGGCTATTCATCATGACCTCGTCTTACACAATTAGTGTCAGAACGTACAGGAATGCAGGGTCACAGCCAATGGGGAATGGACGCGTGGCATATGATGTCACATCAAAGACAGAAAAATCGCATGTCGTTGCTGACACGCGACTTGGGAAAACAAACGATTAATTACACCATTCCCTTGACGAGACTGCATTCAATGCGGTAAGGCTCGAAAATGAAAGGCAATAAATGTTCCTAATACAGAGCATTTATTGCATCCTCCCCGAGAGGAGTTCATTGTACCGTCGGCATTCCGATGACGTAGCATTGATTGCTCGGGACCCCGAGCAGTTAAGAAGAGAAGACATTCCTCATCAGAATCAGTGCGCACACTGCCTGTACCTAATGATCACCTACTGACTACACTGACAGCAATCATGAGCTTTTGAGGTATAAATACTCCT